TATATATATATATATATATATATATATATATATATATATATATATATCTTAGATTGTGTTCTCATGAACCACTCATAGTTTGTTGTGCAGTCTCACTGTTACCTCCATTCATAATGTGTGTGTGTGTGTGCACTAGTCAGAGGATGCTGGCCGCGGTAAGGTGTGTGTGAGCAAGATATTTCTCGTCTTTATCGCTTGCCTTTAAGCTTTTTATTCTTTTGATCCCTTTCCCTACTTTCCATTTCCTGAGCTTCAACCTTTTACCAGCATCCTTTGAGAAACGAGCCTTCTGCATCAGCCATTTCACTTCTTGTCAAAAAATAGCGTTCAGTTCTACTTAATGCTATAACTCGTTTCAGTTTTTATTTTCAAATTTGCTGAGTTTATAATGAATAAAGATGCTAGTTTTATAGGGGGTACCTGTATGAAGACAAACAACTAGGACTGTTATTTTTGACTGTTGCATCTTACCCTACATAGTACCCTGCCCCATTTTGCTCAAATAAATAATTTTTCCTGTTTCATTTTAAGATTTTTTTTTTCCTTTTATGCATGTGTGTTGCATTTTTCATCACCAACATCTGCAACTATCAATGCACGTGATTCTAACAAAGGCTGGAGAGTTCAAAAGTGTCAATTATTTCAGACTTAATCATAATTCTGTGTAAAAGCCAATCTGCAGATATTTTCTGTAACATTTCTAGAACCCAGGCTGCCATTTTCATTAGACCTATCCCACAAACTGTTGAAATTAAATCCATCATACACTGCCTGGCCAAAAAAATGTTGCCACCTGGATTTAACTAAGCAAATGGGTACGAGCCTCCTATTACTGCATGGGTGATTATCTTTCACCTGGCAACAAGTTATTGAACCCCAACTGGTGCAATGAGTTGCTTCTCATTTCTTAAACAATCATGTTGAAAGACACATCACGTGGTCGTGGAAAAGATGTCAGTCTGTTTGAGAAGGGTCAAATCATTGGCATCAAGCAGAGAAAACATCTAAGGAGATTGCAGAAACTACTACAGTTGGGTTAAGAACTGTCCAACGCATTATTAAAAACTGGAAGGATAGTGGGGACCCATCGTCTTTGAGGAAGAAATGTGGCCGGAAAAAAATCCTGAATGATCGTGATTGGCGATCACTTAAATGTTTGGTGAAATCAAATCAAAGAAAAACAACAGTGGCACTCAGGGCTATGTTTAATAGTGAAAGTGTGAGCATTTCCACGCACACAATGTGAAGGGAACTCAAGGGATTGGGACTGAACAGCTGTGTAGCCTTAAGAAAACCACTAATCAGTGAGGCTAACCGGAAAAAAAAAAAAGCTCCAGTTTGCTAGGGAGCATAAAGATTGGACTCTAGAGCAATGGAAGAAGGTCATGTGGTCTGATGAGTCCAGATTTACCCTGTTCCTTGTGATGGGTGCATCAGGGTAAGAAGAGAGGCAGGTGAAGTGATGCACCCATCATGCCTAGTGTCTAGTCATCAAAGCAAGATTTTGTTGAAAAATTAATGCAACACTGGATGGAAGTAGATCTTGTGACATTGCAGAAGCTTAGCGAAACAATGACACAGTGAATGCATGATGTAATCAAAGCTAAAGGCGGTCCAACAATATATTAGTGTGTGACTTTTTTTTGGGGGGGTGACAACTTTTTTTTGGCCAGGCAGTGTATGTTTCTAGGATTAGTGTTAAAAACAGAGGTGGAGCAGTTTTATACTTGGTGTATATTTGATGTATTTAATACACTAAAAAATAATGTGCAGAATCATTGGCAAGTCAAAGGTTTAGAGATCCCTTTTTGAAAAAAATCTTACTTGCATGTTTTTTTTTTCAAATGCTTTACTTTCAATTTGACACAACAGAGATTAAAAAACATTCCTAAGTAAAAGCTTGGACAACCCTTCAAAGTCTTATTAATAAATTTTTCCAGGTTTTAGCACTTTAAGTCTTTTAATTGATGTTTTGAGGATTTATTTTTCCTCCTCATTCTTTTTACTAAGGGTTTCTAATTCTGATAAATTGAGTTTTCTTGTATGTGCTCCACTTTTGAGTCTCTCCAAGTTAAAATTGATGTTTAGGTTAGGGACTTTGGGGGCCATCCAAGGCTCACTCATGGTTCTGTAACCACTCGGCTGTATGATTTACCACAAAACTGTCATGCCGTAACTTTCATCATCTAAACATGTGGGCTCTTCGGCAGACAAACATGTGCAGCCCAGGGTTTTGTGACTCTGCCATCAACAATATTCCCATTCAAAAGGTGGCACCAAACACAACAAAGACTGCAGAACCAAACTACAAACAGAAGAAAAACAAATTTGTGAAGGAATGCATTAAAGATGGAGACTTCCGAGTGTAAAGCTATGCAGCTAATTCAAGAAAGCTATGAAACCGAGTGTGTCAGTCAGGTCTCGGTGAATTGCAGACACATTAAAGGATGTTGTTGAGCTCTAACAACCTCTCATTTGCTGCTCTTGAAATAGTTCATTGAGGATTTTGAGCAAGCTAGAATAAAAAGAGCAATCGCCATCTTTAGCCGTAAGCCGGGGAACTCATAAATAAATGCAACAAATAATTAAGTACTTCTCTGAAAGAAGTCGTCAAGCAGCATATCTGTTCAACATTGTAAAAAGTGGAGATGAAACAAAGCATATAAACAAAAAGTTTAAATGTGTCAGGCTTCATCTGTAAATGCGGAGAGACAGATTGTTTTTTTTTGGGGGGGGGGGGGGTGTTCTGCAGAATGCAAAATCTTTCACTTCTTGAAATTTTATTAGGTCTTAACCTAATTATGACTGTTGCTTGCAGGCTTCTTTTGAATAAAAACACATACATGTCTTTCATTCAGAGTTAGAATGAAGTATGATTAATTTTAACATTTTTATCAATCTGTAACATTACCAGAGACAAATTTTGTCAAAAAAAAAAGATTCCTCAAACAATAATCCTTTCCAAGTCGATTCATTTGTCTCTTCTACATCATAGTGTAGATTCTTGTGAGCTTCTCCTACAGTTCTGGGCTTATTTTTCACCACAACTCCTGTTTCGCTGAACAGCAGCACAAGTAGAACGACCGCTCTTTCCTTAGCAAATGAGATGAGACACAATGAGACCACTGAAAAAGCTGCAGCCTTCTGAAACGTTCGTAATAAATAGAAAAATGGCCTAATTAACAATACAGACACAGTACAAGTGTTTATACTCATTCATTTTTAATTATATTCATCGTTTCTCCCGGCTCTTATTTTAATCATGTGCACATGCTTTTGTGCTCATTGCATCGTGGCTGAAAACGTTCATCGCACTCGCTAAGCTGCTTGTGTCTTCTTTTTTGTTGTTGTTTTTGTTTTCCTCCTGTAGCGCACTAATAAATGTCCTTTTTAGGTTCAAAGCTGGGCCTGAGCGACGTCCAGGCAGAGCTGGACCGCATATCCAGCCGGGAAACTGACTCAGACTTGTCCAATGCCAACGACGCCCCTGCCACAGATGGCCAGGACACATGAAGATCAACGCACTCCATTCCTGCTCCTCTTCTCTCCCCACTCCTCTCCACCTCAGTGTCCACCTCCCTTTTTTCTCCCCCGCCACCTTTAACTTCCATCCTAAAGATGCTGGGTAAACAGAGGGGTGGACATACATTTATACCTCATTGTCTTTTCACTTTCCCCTTGAGAAGAACTCAACGTTTCTTACCCCCATGCCTTCCTTCCTCCACCTACACCCCTTTATTTTCCCTTTGCGGCTGTTACACCAAGGAGAAATATTTGTCACTGTTACATGCAAGACTTTTGTTACATGCTAGCACATGTAAAAGGATGAGGACCATTGGAGAGAATGGGAAGAGGCAAGAGGTGAACTGAAGAAAAATGACTGCAAGAATGAAAGTCAGGGTGTTTTATCCATCCATTGACTGCGATGGTACAGTTAGTGTTTATACTGTAGAACGCATGTTTGAAGAAACTGCACTTAGGTAATATAGGGAAGACTGTGCGTTTACTGTATGAGGCAAGTCCTACTTGACTGGAGGAAGAGGCTGAAAACAAAAAAAATAAATAAAACTGAAACAAACATGCAAATAGTTTTTTTAAGATGAAGGGAAATTTTACCAGTATTTGTGTGTGTGTGTGTGTGTGTGGGTGTGTGTGTGTGGTGCAAGAGTGTAGCAGGAGGGTTCATTAGGGAAAGTTCCACCCAGAACCATTTGATGAGATTTTAAGTGGGTTGCATTACAACCAAATGGCAACAAGCATTACCATATTCATACACTACAAAAGTGTGCACTCGCTATTTATTACACCAGCAGCATTTGCTTGACTACACACCCAAAACGTTTCTGAAATATACAACAAAAATTTGTTCAAGCATTAAGGTTCATCGTGGCGCCCTGTTCCGATTGGACAGACTCCACGTTGTCGGGTTCAAACCTGTGCACCGAAAAGGGAAAGGTTATTAGAGTGTGGGTGGGTAGCTGAGCTTTACTTGTACAGAAAAAATAACACTAGTTGGTTACATGGTCACTGCTGAGGGGGTGGTGGTAAGGAAAAAGAAGAGGGGGGGGGGGGGTCAGAATATGGGAGGGTCACACCAAGAATGTACAGCCATTGTCTCGCTGATTGGTCCTGTTATTTCAGAGCTCTGTGTTGGCGTTTGTATAATCAGATCTGTCAATCAGTCAATAAAAAGGTGTATTTATTCGGATTCACCTGGCTGCTTCTTTATTTGAAATTCCTCTCGCTGTGAATAAAAGTGCATAAACAATCAGATGAGGATCTAGGTAGCTGATTGTGATCGCCACCAGATAGTGACGAGAATGAATCTTGGAATAAAATACCAGGCGCGTCAAGAGCCAAATTGCGACCGCATGCAATTCTTGTCAAATGTCACCTTTTGTTCTAATCAAGACGTGACAAAAACTGTTAACCGCAACACTCCTTGACCACCAAGGATCATTTCTGCATAGCAAAGACTGTGTTCAATTCAATATGGGGTTTTGTTGAGAGAACATGCTCATGCTAACGTGTGTCCACCATCGAGTGTTTACAGTGAGAACGTCAGCTACAGAATTAAACCACAGAGTAAATGCAATGAAGGAGACCTGATAGATTTATTTTTATTATGTCACGTGGATGTTTGCATCTTGCTTACATGGGGAAGACATGACATCATACATTTTGGAAAAAGAGGCAAGCCAGTCATGATGCAGATCCTCCCATTGTAAAGGCTCTACCGCTCACCTACTGAAACACTGAGCCATGGCTGAGGCTCGTCCGTGAGAATCCTGACAGCAGCCTTTCAGGATAAATATGCGCCACTGACAAAAACACAAACCAAAAAGATCTAAATGACTGGTGCCAGACAGCGCAATGCTGGTGGCAAAAGGGTGAACAAAATGTTACAGCTGATTTGTGCACGTTTTTTTTCTCATTTCAAACGATGCATGACCAACTGCAATAAACATGAACTGCTGTGCCATTTATAGCTGTTCCTGGTTGTCATCCTGATTTTCTGATGCTAACTTGCAGATGGAACTGGGACAGTGGCTGAAGCTTTTTATAGTTTTACTCCCAAGTGTTGATATCAGCTGCTGCCACAGAAGTCTAAAGAAGATGCAGAAAGCTGGTTTGTACCAGATTAAAGTTGTCAAATCATTGTTTTGTATCTCTTTAATGTAGTTTCTGCTTGGATTTCCTGCAGTTACAATGTTTCTCAACAGTTTTTGGACTTTGACCTTTTCTGGCCGGTGGCTTGTATGGTACAGAAGAGCGTGCACAACACCTGCAGTTTGTTTGCGCAAACTGAATTTTTTTAGTTGTTTCTTTGTAATTCTTATATGTCTTCCATGTTAAGAATTCTCAAGCAAAATGCTCAGCATGATTGCATTTCTGACAATAGTAGAGGTGATTAATACATAGACATAAACTTATATTACAACTAGTCTATAAATACTTGCAAACATTGAAATGCAAATAGCACACAAACTAAACACTCTACATGAAGATTAGATCATGGGTTTTTGGGATTACATCCAGCTGTTAAACAAGTTTGTCAGTGTATTTGGTTTGTTGTGTATTTAGTTTTCTGTTTTCAGATAACTTGGTTTGGACAATTAAAAATAAACCCCATATCACTTGTGTTCAGTTGTGTGAAATGCAGCAGTCATCCATTAGGCTAAATAAATGCATCGTACGATCATGTTATGGGAAATGATGTTAACTTTAACCCCTCAGTCAAATCACAGCAGCTCAGAAATCTCGTTTCCTTTCCAACCCAGCTTTCTGCTGCTAGTGCTGAAGTGTCAAACCTTTAAAACATAACTATATTGAAATCTTTTTTGAAATGGCGGCGTTCTACGCTAAAACTTTTTTTTGTGTGTGTAAGGGACACGCTCTACTTTTCCGAGTGCGGCAGAATACTGTATTTTCTCCCTTCGCCATCTTGATGTTCGACCGCGCAGGCGGAAGCAACATCTTCGGCGGAGCAGCAGCGGGTGTGGTTCGGACTAGGACGGGTGGTTCACCTAACAGTCCTTCTACTATTTTCAGCTACGAGAAAGGATTTTTTTTGCCTGATAAAAACCACGGAGGACTCGCTCGACTGTGGTAAGAGGCAGTACATTTAGTGTAGACATCGTGTGGGGCATTTATAGCGTGTCAATTCACGTTTTACTAAAGGAAAATCATCTTTTGGCGAAGGAGGAGTGCTCCGGTGGGGTTTTCTGATTTGGCTGGGAGCTTAGCAGATTTTGTACGGTGGCGCCTGGATCTACTTTTTATACGTCTTTATACGCTAATCACACCTGAATTAAAGATCTAAGGAATCGCTTCGGTGTCACGATTCCAATAAAGCATCTCCGTTTCCTTTAAAGAATATAGAACCAGCCATACAGACTGTTAAACCAGTTGTCCAAGCCCCGAATGGCTGATTGTTTATGTTAGCTAGTTAGCTAACTAACGGAAAGGTTAGCTGCGCACGTTAGGTTAGCTATTGAGATAAGCTAGCCAACCTGTTAGCCAACGGGGTGGCTAATTCTAGCTAGCGCCCCTGCTGTTAATTACACATGTTGATGGCTATTAGTAGGGCTTATGGTGTAGCCGGACATTTTACTAGATTATTAGACCAGTTTGTTATTGTGTTAGTTTAAACCACCATGAGAGGTGGAGTCATGGAAGTGATTGCGGGCGGAGGGGGTTGTGTCTTTGGAAACCCAAGCAGTAGCAGCTAGGTCGGAACTTGGCCGTGGTAGAGGGAGGGGGGAAGGAGAAATATGCCTTTGATGTTGTATGCCGCTGAATGGTGAATTGTGTTCGTGCTGGCCTGGAAATACCCACAGCTTTGCTCTCTCGGTTTGAGGTGGAGGCTCGGCATTTCCCCTCGCATATCTACGTTAGCTGGCCAAACAAGCGAATAGGGATTTGGTTGAAGGTAGAGAAGCAAATGAAGCAGGCGGCGATTTGATTGAAAATTACTTTAACGTCACATTTATGTTTTATCCCACCAAACTGAGTGAGTTTAAGTTGTTTTAACCGTGTACTTGTTTCTTTTTTTCAGACATATCTGCTGTGCGGGCTGAGGGCAGGCAAGAACAATGGCTACCCAGTGTGAGTATAAAAAATGACCACATTTTCAGCGTTTATATACTTTTTGCATCACTTTGATTTAGAATAGATTTATGTATAAATTAGTTATGTAACATTTGAAGTGGGATTTAAGGAAAAAGCTTGCCACGGTTTCCATTATTGAGATCTGAAGTTGTTTGTGTTCATCAGGAAACAAAGTATCAGGGGAACATCTTTGGAAATTGATCAGAGTTAGAGATTCTTTATAGTCATTCGCACTTCATGTGGTACATGTGGTGGAGCGAAATTATGTACACAGGGTCCCAGTTACATCCAACAATAAAATGTAAAAGAAAAACAATGATAACACTATGTTGATGATGATGTTTGGTGTTGATGATGTTTCCATACTTGCATGTAAAATGTGGAACATTATCAGAGATATGAGGTGCAAACAAAAACTTGTTTTTTTTTACCTATCCAGTTTTTGTCAATTAATCTACTTTCCCCCTAAAGCTTTATTTATTTATTTATATATATATTTTTTGCATTTATATTAGAAAATGCCAAAGTTTATAATGTTCCGTACTCCGCTGTGGGCATTTATACCTGCCTCTGGTTACTAATGTTTCTGACCTTCTGTCTGTCTGTGTAGCTGATTTGATGGAGCTGGACATGGCTATGGGTGACAGCAAGGCTGCTGTGAATCAATGGCAGCAGCAGTCGTATCTGGATTCAGGAATCCAGTCAGGCGTCACCACCACAGCGCCATCTTTGAGTGGCAAGGGGAACCCTGATGCTGAGGAGGAGGACCCATCTCTGTATGACTGGGAGTTCAGTCAGCCTTTCACTCCTGAGGCTACAGGTATGAGATTCCCAAGTTAACCAAGACCTTGTAACAATGTTGTATATTTTGTTAATTAATTTATTTATTTTAGACATTGAGGGTTATGCCATGACTCGGGCCCAGCGTGTGCGTGCTGCTATGTTCCCTGAAACTTTGGAAGAGGGCATACAAATCCCACCCACACAGCTGGATGCTGCCAATCCAACAGCAGTACAACGTCTGGCAGAGCCTTCTCAGATGCTGAAGCATGCTGTGGTCAACCTTATTAACTATCAAGATGATGCTGAGCTGGCCACTAGAGCCATACCTGAACTCACCAAGCTGCTTAATGATGAAGACCAGGTGTGGGAACAAAAATCTATTAAACTATTACTTGAATACACTGAAATTCCATACAAGTACCAGATTATTAAATTGATGCAAAACAGTCTATACTTAGTTCCTGATGTTACATTTCCTAACAAATGTTGATTCTATCTCAGGTTGTTGTGAACAAAGCTGCGGTGATGGTGCATCAGTTGTCAAAGAAAGAAGCGTCACGTCATGCCCTCATGCGTTCGCCTCAAATGGTTTCAGCAGTTGTTCGCGCCATGCAGAACACTGGTGATGTGGAGACTGCTCGTTGCTCTGCTGGCACCTTGCACAACCTTTCCCACCATCGTGAGGGGCTCCTTGCAATCTTTAAATCTGGAGGCATCCCAGCCTTGGTCAAGATGCTGGGGTGAGATTGTGTCTCTAGCTACATATATAAATGGTGAAATAATGTTAGATTCTCAGGTTAAGGCAAGAGTGCACTTGACATTGAACTGAGTTTTGTTAAGGGCTTACTGAGACAAAAATATGATGGTGGTTCGATTAAAAAAACATTCATTTTAGCATATCTTAGAAACTTGTTTGTGTTGTATATGGTTATGCTTTATATTTGTTTTCAGCTCAAAAATGTGTTATTCTTATAGCACCATACAACACTTGAATTATTGCCAATACACTAAAATTCTGACTTGTTTGCATTATCAGATAAGATACAACTAAATATTCTGCTGAATGAAACGCTTCAAACAGCGATCTAAAAACTGAAGTGAAAATACAGAAAACTTGGGCCTTTATTTTATTTTATTTTATTTAGAGGTGTTTCCTATTATTGTAAAATGAAAATGCGAACGTACGTAGCTTTAATTTTGATCTGCTTGCAGTCATTTTCCACTTAGCAAGTGAGAAAAACATTGCAGCAATTTTTGCTGCAATGTTGCTGGTGCATTCTCTTTTCTGCTGACCTTTATGTTGCTGTCCCTCTGTTTGTAGCTCACATAGATACATTAAAAATGGTATCATTATTAACAAAGCAAAGCCTCAACTGCTAATCTAAACATGTTTCAAAGAAAACTTCTTCACTTACTTTATGCATCTTTTTTTCCTGTGTGCTGTAGAATGATTTGTAGAGGCTCTTCCAACAATCTTTTCCCAACCTTTGAAATATATATGAATGGATATTGTGAAAAATGTTGAATTAAACTTTCCACGCAGTCTGCTGAACATCCCCTGTGTTCACTTGGGAAAGCGGCTCATAAAAAGCCGAAACTTGCAGCCAAAACACTTGGCTCCCTGGCAAGCTGGGACCTGTTTGGATGTTGCACGTGTGTGATTGAACTTGCACCTGGAATCACATTACCTTGCTTTCAGAGCATGTTGGCGTGAGGAGAATAAAAGAACTACCTCCTTTTCAACCTTTTGTGTAGATTGGTAGCTGGATTACAGTTTGGACTATTTACAATCCTCATGGTATTTAAGTGTAATGTTTACTCACATTTTGTGTCTATATGTTTTTTTTTTTCAGCTCACCTGTGGACAGTGTTTTGTTCTATGCCATCACTACACTGCACAACTTGTTGTTGCACCAGGAAGGGGCCAAAATGGCAGTGCGCCTAGCTGGAGGGCTGCAGAAGATGGTAGCCCTTTTGTCTAACACCAATGTCAAGTTCCTGGCCATCACTACTGACTGTCTCCAAATCCTGGCATATGGCAACCAAGAAAGCAAAGTATAGAAATATCAGCTTATTTTTGCTTGTGCTTTATTCATTTTATGAGCCTCATTCTATTTGGCTGGCATTTTGCAATTTGACACAATGTTGTCTTTGTTTTAGCTGATCATTCTGGCCAGTGGTGGCCCCCAAGCCTTGGTGAACATCATGAGGACCTTCACATATGAGAAATTGCTGTGGACCACAAGCAGGGTGCTCAAAGTGCTCTCTGTTTGCTCAAGCAACAAGCCAGCCATTGTAGAAGCTGGTATGTAAATACTCCTGGTGCAGGAGTTAAAAAAAACAAAGTATAATAAAACAGTATTTCCTACCAAACTTGTTGCAATGTCCCTGTGGGAGCAATTACTGAACTAAACTTTTAAAATTGTGATTTTTTTTTTTTTTGCTGTACAAGTATGAAGTCTTCTAATGCAATGAATGTGTTTGACTGTGTAGGTGGTATGCAGGCTTTGGGTCTTCATCTGACCGACCCGAGCCAGCGTCTGGTCCAGAACTGCCTCTGGACTTTAAGGAATCTTTCAGATGCTGCCACTAAACAGGTAAAATGCAATTTCACAAGACCAAAGTTTTAACGTTTTAAGAACCTCATTAAGGATTAAAAATAGAGGATTTCATCCTTTTCTCTATAGGAGGGGATGGAGGGTCTCCTGGGCACCCTGGTCCAGCTGCTGGCCAGTGATGATATTAACGTGGTTACATGTGCTGCTGGCATCCTCTCTAACCTTACCTGCAACAATTACAGTAACAAACTTATGGTCTGCCAGGTACGAGCTGTATACAGACATCTGTTGAGTAATTATGTGTAATCTGATTCAAGTATTGCTGTAGAACTGGTATGTCATCTTGTGTTTCTTAGTATCTAAGTACGTCTTAAATCGTGTCCCAACAAGGTGTGAAGAGATCTTTTTTGTAGTACCACTATCTTTTCCTCATGGTCTTTCCCCTTTTCTATCTAAAGAATAAGGGACATGCTCTTAGGAGCAGCAGCAACCTGCACTCTGCCCATCTTTCGGATGACTGTATGGACGTAATCTCGCTGTACTTCGGTGCAGTGATAATAAGCTTATTCTGATTCTACCACTGAATAATTTCATTAGGTTGGTGGTATCGAAGCTTTGGTGCGAACTGTACTTCGGGCTGGAGACAGAGAGGACATCACAGAGCCAGCTGTTTGTGCCCTGCGTCACCTGACCTCACGCCACCAGGATGCTGAGATGGCCCAGAATGCTGTGCGCCTGCACTATGGCCTGCCTGTGGTTGTCAAACTGCTGCACCCTCCGTCCCACTGGCCACTAATCAAGGTAACCATCAAACATTCTTATTTACTCATCAAATATTATAATATGTCATTTCCAATAAAAATAAAATGTACTTCTCTCTAGGCAACAGTTGGTCTAATTCGCAACCTGGCCCTCTGCCCGGCCAATCACAGTGCTTTACGGGAACAGGGTGCCATCCCTCGCCTGGTCCAGCTGCTCGTCCGAGCTCATCAAGACACCCAGAGGCGTACGAGCATGGGAGGCAACCAGCAGCAGTTTGTGGTATGTAACTATCTAAATGTTTTAATTCATTATCTTGTTTGTTTTTATCAATTTGTTCTTCTCCTTCAACACATACAGGAGGGTGTGCGTATGGAGGAAATAGTTGAAGGGTGCACAGGAGCTCTGCACATCCTGGCCCGGGATGTCCACAACCGAATTGTCATCAGAGGACTTAATACCATTCCACTCTTTGTCCAGGTAAAACCAAAACCAGATTCCTATTTCAGAACCGTCCCAACTAAAAATTAAATTGACATTTGTGGCAGCTGTTTGATGTATTGTTGGAAATACAACATCTGTATGAAAGCAACTTTTATTCTTCAGAATTTATTTTCCTGTTGTTTAATTCATTACGTGCATTTTGGGTCTTTCGTGCTCAGTTTTGTTTGTTCTTGTATCCAGCTGCTGTATTCTCCGGTGGAGAACATCCAGCGTGTTGCAGCAGGTGTTCTGTGTGAACTGGCCCAGGACAAAGAAGCTGCTGAGGCTATTGAAGCTGAGGGAGCCACCGCACCACTCACCGAGCTACTGCACTCTCGTAACGAGGGCGTTGGTGAGTACACAGCAAGAAATACAGCTTACTTATGAACATTAACGTTGCTTGACTTGCATTGTTTGTATCCTTCTGCAGCAACCTATGCTGCAGCTGTCCTGTTCCGCATGTCCGAGGACAAACCCCAGGACTACAAGAAACGCCTCTCTGTGGAACTGACCAGCTCATTGTTCAGGACTGAGCCGATGGCCTGGAACGACGTACGTGCACACACGGGTTTTGTAAACAAGATGAAACGGCTTAAATACACAGCAAATCTTAACAGGTTGTGCATTTTAATTATACTCCAAAGGTGTTTCTTCTTTTGAAGGATTATGTACACTGTTTGACGCGATTGGTAGGAGGAACAACTCACTCTCGAATAAGTTTCTTTTTATGGCTACACAAGACAAGAAAAACTTGTAAAAAGCAAATATACACTTGTTGACATGTAAGGACTTTTTGTTTATCCAACCATGAGTATACAACCATTATTTATATTTCATATTGGAACACCAGTCCTATCATTATATTGCACTATGGGATCTGCTGTAAAAGGAAGGTCTGCTGTTGGCCAAGTAAGCAGCTTTGTCCTTGTTTGCTTTCTTATAGACTGGAGACCTAGGATTGGATTTGGGAGCACAGGGAGATCCACTGGCCTACAGACAAGATGGTATGTCTTTTTTTTGTAACACTTAATTTTATAATTAAAGTGTTAAATAAGTTTAGATACACTGTGACTGTATTAAATACAACTGAACATTTGTTGCCACTTTGAGGCTTTCATCTCTTTCCAGTTGTGAACTACCCTGAAAAAACCTGAGCTTATAAAGAACCAAGACCAAGTTATCCAGCCTCCTTATTGTCAAATAGTCTCATAATGTAGTTCAGATAAAATTGTAGCTGCTAGAACAGTTTGCTAGAACCATTCTTTGTGCCTTTCAGATTCAGCATATCGGGCTTACCCATCAGCTTACAGGCAGGACACCCTGTTGGACCCCATGATGGAAGCTGCTGACTACCACACTGACACGCTGCCTGACCTGGGTCACCACACTGATCCATTGCCAGACCTTGGCCACAGCCAGGAACTGATGGACAGCAACCAGCTGGCCTGGTTTGACACCGACCTGTAGATTGGTAAGACTGACCACAGAACTCTTAATTTACCAGCTTATAGTTAAGTGGGGGAATAAATCTACTTTCCTATGCATTTCAGCACAATATGATTTTCTCTTTGTTCTTGTTGCAGCTGTTTTCCAGTAGAACCTGCATTGTGGCTGTCCTGTCTTGTCTGAAACAGCGTTACGATTGCCCTGTAAAACGTTGAAGGTAAAAAGAGAAATTGAGGGGTCTTGGTAGGTGCCTGACACAAGAAATAAAGATGGTTTCCACAGGATTGTTTAAGCAAGTTGACACGAGGGGGTAAAATATTTCCAAGTATCAAAGATAAGAGCAGGTGATCTATTTGAATGAGTGCATATGACGTTGATCTTAAGTGTGAAACACATATGTTCAGCTTTGCCTGTATTATCAATTTTTGTTATTTTTCTTATTCTTTTTTTTTTATTTCTTTTTGTATTACTCATTATCTGTTATGGTACTGACCCAGCTTGCCTTCATACTAGCCATCTTTATTTTCTCTTCTAAGCTAATCATTTGTAATTTTCTTTTTTTTATATCATATATTACACGTAGTGTTAAGTTATAGTGATCTTATACTATGTTTCTTTGGTTATGGTCGAATGTGTAGAACACTAATAATCAGTTGAAATGTACTCTGACTTCAAGTGTAACATTGTGTAGTTTTTTTATATAATCTCAAAAAGGAGAATTATGCACTCTTAATATGTGCTTGTTTAAGCATAAAATATGTCTGTGTCAAATGTTCTAAAGAGGGAAATGGGTCAAAATTGAGGGTGGATTGGGGGATAAATCTAGAGACAAGTGTTTTATATACAGTATCACTGGTAGGGTAACTATTTTGTATGCTATCATTGGATGTCTGATAGAAAAAAATCTAAATGCTATCGTTGGTGGTCTGATAAACCCAGTTTTATGTGCTATCAAAGGTAGCTAGGTTGACAAACAGTTGTAGTCCTGCTGTGTTTGTTTTGGAGACGAGGTTCTGACACGGCTGAACAATAAAAAGGCATTTTATTTCATTCAGTCTTTGTCCTGCGTCTGTTTTCACCGAGTGACTCAGGATTTGACTCAGTCCAGGGTGTTTCACTCCGAAATCACAGCTGAAGCACTCGGGAGTTGATTAAATGAAACTATAAAGTTGCAACTTGTTAATGTTCATAAAGGCTGTAAAATACTAGCATCAGACCCCTGTCAGGCTATATTAAGAAGCAAAGAATCATGGGTGTTTTTGTTAATAAAAGTTATGGCTATAACGTGAGCGTTTGAAAAACATGAACCACCTGACAAAATGTTTTCATATTAATTCCCCTGACATTTTATTGAACGTCCCAACAAAATGTCTAAAGATCCATAAGTGTGTCACTTCTCTGTGTAAAATAAGAGTTCACAGTAACGTCAAACTGATGCTGAAGTCCTCCATCTCTACAAAAGATCTACCAGTAGTCTTTGAAATCAAAAGTATTTACCCGTCAGATCTTGTTGCTTTTCTCAGCTGTGAGATCGCATCACACTTAAAAGCAAAGTCCTTCAGATTTTAGGGTCTGTCTGTAAGACTTTGTGGACAAATAGTTTATAGAATCTGTTTAATTATTATCATTTTTTATTAACTTTGAGAGACCACAGCCTGCAGGATAAAAAATAAAAAAAACAACCGAGCACCCAGCTGGTTATCAGATCTTTGTTTTTGGGATTGTAATGACAAAAGTGGCTGCATCTTTATTTTTTAGAAGAGTTTCTATTTTTTTAAATATGGCATCACATTTAGAAACAAAAGTATTTTCTCAGCATTCAGTTGCTTGTAGTACTTTTTTGATTTCTGTCAGGTATGGGAGATAAATGTTTGACAGGTAAAGTACCAATTAGTTTATATTTGACACAGCATCGTTCTTTTCGTTTTAATAAAGCTGCTAAATCTTTCACTATGAATGGACAATCTGAGTGTGATAGTAAAACGTTTTGAATGCAGTTCAGAATGGAAATAAGAGTGAACGCTCATGAAGCATTCACACTGTGATCCATTATTTCGTGCATTTCTCATCCCACAGTTTTCGTTCTATTTCAACAAATATCAAAACGTTCAGCTCTTTCAGGATCTGCTATGACTTGGTATTGGTGCAACTTTAGCTTTTTAAATATTTAGCCTTTTCTGCCACTTTTTTTCTCATAGAAAATCAATTGAGCTCATTTTACATCCATCTTTAGATCTTTACAACCTTTTACTGCTCTTTTCACATTTTGTTCTGGTTCAGCCTCTTGGCGTCCTTGAGCAAAGTGGAAAAAAAAATTCTGCTATTGTCAGCTAATTTCAGCTGTTTATTGCACCTTTCAGATTCTAACTACATTTTTCTGCTTCTAACTTCTTTCTGCTAATTTCAGCTTCTTATGCACCTTTCAGCTTATTTCTATAAGTTTCAGCTTGTTCTACTATTTCAGCTAAGCTGTTTTATGCTAATAGCTTTTTCAGCTAATTCCACATATTTTGCACTAATTCAAATTCAGCCTAATTTGGCTAAATGTGCTCTCTACACTTGTTTTTTGGAATTTTAGCTTCTTTCTGCTTTTTAGCTACTTTTCATCTGGTGCTTTTTTTTTTTTTTTTTGCTAATTTCAACTTTATTCAGATAATTTCCACTTTTTGGTGCTCATTTTTGCTTCTTTCAGCCTATTTGGGCAAACATGTTCCTGCTTTTTTGTGCTAATTTAAACTTGTTCTACCTTTTTCAGCTCTTTTTTTTTTTTTTTTGCTAATTTTAGCTGTTTTCAGATCAATTGAGTTTTTCATGGTAATCTCTGCTACTTTCAGCATAATTAACTTTTTGCTACTTTCAACTTATTTCTGCTAGTTTGTTATTTCAGCTACTATTCAAATGTTTTTATGCTAATTTTAGCCTTTTCAGCTAATTCCATATTTTTTGCACTCGTTTCAACTTTTTTCAGCCTAATTCAGTCAAAATGTGCTCGCTCCACTTCAAGTTTCAGCTCATTTCAGCTGTTTTTCAGCAAGTTCTTCAGCATTCACACTACATTTTTGCAGAAAATGCTCTTATTTTCTGATCTTCCAGCTGGATGTTGCTCCACCTGCTCGACAGGGGGCAGCACACCAGACTTGATGATGTAACTGCTTTTGTACAAACTGATCCTTGCTCTTCCTGTCTGGAGATGTATGTATGCTTCACATACCATCAAAATGCTTTTAATGGAATATTTTGTTCTGAGATCATAAACAAGACTGTTCATCAAAAAAAGACCTGTCTGACATTCTTGTGTCAACATCCTGAAGGCAGTTTTTTTTTTTTTTTTTTTAGCACAGTATGCACCACTAAATGGAATATGACCAAACTCCAAGTAAAACTAGATTTTCTTGTAATCTTTTTTTATAATTGTCTTATTAGTTCTTCAGGATTTTTAACTGTTTTGTGGGACTCTGTCTCCTTTTTCACTTTGTTTCAGTTCAGCACTAAATTTTTTAAGGAACACTGTTGTGTTCTTATAGGGAGCGTTAACGTGACGGTGATGTCTTTGTCCCAAATATCTGCTGGAGTCATGCAAAAAAAAAAAAAAAAGCATCACTGACATATTTAAATAAAGTTGATATAGTTTCTACACAGGATCAAGAGTTGTACTACTAATAAAAAATGCTTTTTTTTGTTTTGTAGTTAAAGGTTGAAAATAATACATGTTTCAGTTTAGATATTTTGTGGAAGAGGTATAAACCTAAGTTTTATCAGCATAGAAGTTGAAAAACAGCACAGTAGTTAGAAATAAATGATTAGTTTCACAAACTGGATTAGTATGACTGTGGTGCTGGACTGTAGCTGAACAAACGAAAGTGAGAAATTGTGATTTTACATCAAGAGAACATTTAAATTTAACGTGACAGAGACAAAAAGATGTTTGAGTTTATTACTCAGACTATTATGACAAAAAATGTGCATAAATGTACACAAAGCTGAGAGTATGTTGTTGCACCAAGAAGCATTAACATAAGCATTATTGCATCTCAAAAGCCTGCATAAAGCACAGAAGGTTTGTACATCAGGTTTGAAACCACATAAACCAGAAACAGCACTGTAGATCAGCATTTTACAAGAACAACATTCCCCTGAGCAAATCCTGAAATTCCAGGAAGTGCTTCATTCGCACGAAACGCTCAGAACGTAGCGTCTTTAATGGCGGGTAAATGTCGGCCCAGTGATGTAACTGCTGTGTGCTGCTGAAATAAAGAGCAGCTCTGGTTTCTGTGCAGATGGGGCTCGGTTGGCTCCATCAGCAGCGAGTCCTTGATGTGTGCTGCCTCCTGCTGAGCCGACGGAGGCTGAAGGATGAGGAAAGAGAGGCTCCACAGAGCTGAAGCCCATCTTTATCTGTGTCTGAGAAAACATTTCAATGTTGCTCTGTTTCCAGTTTAGAGGCAGACAACTGCTCCGACCAGTCCAGTTTAGTTCTTCAGTAGATCTCAGTGACATCTGAAGAATCAAGTAGTTTAGTTGACATTGTAGTCTAATGAGGCTGAGTCAGCTCCTCCGATGGATTCTTTGTTGAAACGTTTCATCTTTTATCCAAAAGACGTATTCAGTCTGAGGAGCTGCAACAAACTCAGTCTTATAAATAACACCTTCTCATAGTGGACCAGTTTGCTGCCGACAGTCACCAGTTTTATCCTCTCTTCACTGGCTCCCTGTACGTAACAGAATCAATTTTAAAACTCTCCTGTTGACCTTTAAAGGCCTACATGGCCTTGCACCCTCACACCTCTCTGACCTACTTCAACCATGTTTCTTCTCGGGCGCTGAGCTCATCTGATCAGCTGCTTTTGGTTGTACCAAGAAAACAGGTTGAAGATCAGAGGAGATCGGGCTTTTTCAGTCATGGCCCCTAAACTTTGGAACAATCTGCCCCCCAACATTAGACAGGCCGCTTCACTTCCTGTTTTTAAATCTCTTTTTAAAACACATGTGTTTTCACTGACTTTTAACACAGTGTGATTTAATTTAGTATGTCATTGTTTTGTGTTTCATGTTTTCCTTTTGATGCTTTTAATACATTTTTGTTATTATTTTTTCATTAAATTACTGCCATGCGTTTTTATAGTTAAACACTTTTGGTAACAGCTGCTGTTCTAAATGTGCTTTATAAATAAATTTGACTTGACTTGACATGCCTAACAATTGGTCGTTAGCACCCTGATGGCTGTTTACTATTCACAGGAGGTTGAGTGATACAATAACAGCATTGTAAGAGGGGGACAGTTGAACCTGGAGGCCTCCACCCCTGTTTAAAGATGGACGGTTCCTTTTCACAAAGATGGCCTCCTTTACTCCTCTCTCAAACCATCGTGCCTCTCTATATGTGAACATCTTCATCTCTGAACGAGTGACCGCTGACCTGCAGATGAGTGTACTGATTGGACTGATGATGTTGATCTTCTGTGCTGGGCCATCCTTTTGGCCAGTGGCTGTTTAGTTTCCTCAATGTAGAATTGATCACAGCCCTCCTGACACTGAACAGCATACACAATATAACTCTGTGTCAGGGGACTGGATCTTTGTTGTAATGTAAAAAAAAGTTCACTGTAAAAAGCGACTGTGACAAAGTAGTAAAGTTTATTTGAATAAGATAAGATGTATCTAAGACTTGGTTGAAAACAACTAGAAGTATGTTTAGAAATGTGATTAGAGTTAAAATGTGAAACAAATGTCAGAACCGGAGGAGAGTAAATCAGCTGGAGCCACATTCCAGCAATTTGCACCTCTTAAAAGCTTCAGTCAGGATTTCTTCACAAGTCTCGTGTAAGCAAGTCTGAATAAGCGTAGCTAGCTTTCAAACACCAAAAAGAACATTTTAAGTAGAAAAGTTACGATCTTATTAGAAAACAAGTAAATGTTGTAAAGAGTACTTTCTTAAAGCACAAGAAATTGTGCTAAAACTTAACTCGATTAGCTAAATGTAACAAATTCAAAAACGCATATTGATTTTTTTTAACAAAACGACAACATTAATATTTAACTTTAAATAAACAAAAC